GTGGCGGCGGAGGAGGAGGAGGAGACATGATGATGATGATGGTGATGATGATGGCGATGATGCTGCTGCTGCTGATTATGATTATGACGACGATGATGGTGATGATGCTGATGGCGCTGTTGATGAAGATGATGATGATGCTCATCATGATGATGATGATGATGGTGATGATGCTGATGATTGTACTGCTACTGATGATTATCATGATGATGCTGCTGCTGATGATGCTGAGGATGATGATATTGATCATATGTCGATCATGATGATCCTGATGATGCTAATGCTGTCTATGATGATGCTGCTGCTGATGATGATGCTGCTGGTGATGATGATTCTGATGATGATGATGATGATGATGATGATGATGATGATGATGCCGATGCTGATGACGATGCTGATGACGACGCCCGCGGCAATGATGATGCTGCTGTGGCTGATGCTGCTGATGCTGATGATGTTGATATTGACGATGCTGACGCTGAGGATCATGATGATGCTGCTGCTGATGATGATGCTGCTGGTGATGATGATGCTGATGATGATGATGATGATGCCGATGCTGATGACGATGCTGATGACGACGCCCGCGGCAATGATGATGCTGCTGTGGCTGATGCTGCTGATGCTGATGATGTTGATATTGACGATGCTGACGCTGAGGATCATGATGATGCTGCTGCTGATGATGATGCTGCTGGTGATGATGATGCTGATGATGATGATGATGATGATTGATGATGCGGATGACTTGGATGCTGATTGATGATGGCGATTTGCATGAGTGATGCTATGAGGATGATGATGCTGATGCTGCTGTGATGATGATGTGGAGCCGCTGTGCTGATGGATGATGATGATGCTGCTGCTGATGAGATCATGATGATTGATGATCATGGGCTCATGACGACCCGATGCTGACGCTGAGGATCATGATGATGCTGCTGCTGATGATGATGCTGCTGGTGATGATGATGCTGATGATGATGATGATGATGCCGATGCTGATGACGATGCTGATGACGACGCCCGCGGCAATGATGATGCTGCTGTGGCTGATGCTGCTGATGCTGATGATGTTGATATTGACGATGCTGACGCTGAGGATCATGATGATGCTGATGATGATGTTGATGATGATGGTGATGATGATGCAGATGATGATGGTGATGATGATGATGATGATGCGGATGCTGATGCTGATGATGATGGCGATTTGCATGGTGATGCTGATGAGGATGATGATGCTGATGCTGCTGCTGATGATGCTGATGATGCTGCTGCTGCTGATGATGATGCTGATGCTGCTGCTGATGATGATCATGATGATGATGCTCATGATGCTCATGACGACGATGATGACGATGATGATGATGATGATGCTGCTGATGATGATGATGATGCTGATGCTGACGATGCTGATGATGATGCTGATGACGACGATGCTGATGATGACGATGCTGATGCTGCTGCAGAGGACGACGGCGGCGGCAATGATGATGCTGATGATGCTGATACTGCTGATGATTATGTTGTTGATGATGATGACGATGATGATGATGATGATGATGATGATGATGATGATGATGGTGATCCTGGTAATGATTATGATGATGACGATGATGATGATGCTTCTGCTGCTGCTGATGATGATGATGAAGACGATGATGGTGATTGGCATTGTGATGCTGCTGAAGATGCTGATGATGCTGATGCTGCTGCTGCTGCTGATTATGATGCTGATGATGATGATGACGATGTTGCTGCTGCTGCTGCTGATGATGATGCTGATGCTGATGATGCTGATGCTGATGATGCTGATGCTGCTGATGATGATGCTGATGGTGCTGCTGGTGCTGATGCTGCTGCTGATGAGGATGAGGATGCTGATGCTGCTGCTGCTGATGATGATGCTGATGACGATAATGCTGATGAGGATACTGATTGTGATGATGATGAAGCTGCAGATGACGATGATGATGAAGATGATGAAGATGATGATGTTGATGATGATCAAGATGACGATGATGATGATGATGATGATGATGATGATGATGATGATGATGATGATGATGATGATGATGATGATGATGCTGATGATGATGATGATGATGATGATGATGATGATGATGGTGGTGGTGCTGATGATGATGAGGATTCTTGATGATGATTATGCTGCTGATGCTGATTATGTTGATGATGATGCTGATGATGATGCTGCTGATGATGATGATGATGCTGATGATGATGATGACGACGACGATGATGATGATGATGATGATGATGATGATGATGATGATGATGATGATGATGATGCTGATGCTGATGCTGATGATGATGATGATGATGATGATGATGATGATGCTGATGATGATGATGGATAGGCGGACGAGGAGGCGGAGGAGGAGGAGGCGGAGCTGGAGGAGGCGGAGGAGGCTGTTGCTGATGCTGACGATGATGCTGACGATGATGAGGAGTGTGATTCGGATGAGGAGGATTCTGGCGGATTAGGAGGAGGCGTAGTAGTAGGAGGAGGATGAGGAGGAGGAGGAGGAGGAGGAGATGGAGGGGGGGGGGGGGGGAGGAGGAGGAGGAGAAGGATGAGGCAGGGGGACTGGAGGAAGCGCGAGGGGTGTGTGGGGGGGGGGAGAGGAAGATGAGGAGGAGGAGGAGGATGAGGAGGAGGAGGAGAAGCAGGAGGGGGGAGGAGGAGGAGGAGGGGAGGAGGAGGAGGAGGAGGAGGAGGGAGGAGGAGGAGGAGGAGGAGGGGGAGGTAGAAGGTAGAAGAGGAGGAGGAGGAGGAGGAGGAGGAGGAGGAGGAGGAGGAGGAGGAAGGGAGCAGGGGGAAGGAGAAGGCGGAGGAGGAGGAGAAGGAGGAGGAGGAGGAGTCGGCGGAGGATGAGGAGCGGGAGGAGGACATTGATGATGATGAGGACGAGAATGAGGAAAGGGAGGAGGAGGATGAGGGGAGACTGGATGACGAGCACGAGGAAGAGGAGGAGGGGGAGGATAACCAGACAGGATGATGCTGATGAGGAGGAGGAGGAGGCGGAGGAGGAGGAGGAGGAGGAAGAGGAGACTAGATGAGGATCATGATACTGGAGGAGGAGGAGACCGGACGATGATGCTGCGGATGATGATGATGATGATGATGATGATGATGATGATGATGATGATGATGCTGATGATGATGATGATGCTGATGATGCTGATGCTGGTGATGATGACGATGATGATGGTGATGCTGCTGATGATGCTGATGTTGATGATGATGCGGCTACCGTTGATGATGATGCTGATGCTGGAGATGCTGATGATGATGCCGCTGATGACGATGATGATGACCATGATGATGATGATGATGATGATGATGATGATGATGATGATGACGATGCCGATGATAATGACGATGATGCTGATGATGCCAACGACGATGATGAGGCTGTTGCTGATTTTGATGATGCTAACGCTGCTGATCATGATGCTGATGATGCTGATGCTGATGCTGATGCTGCTGCTGATGATGATGCCGATGATGCTGAGGCTGATGCCGATGATGATGCCGATGAGGCTGATGATGATGATGACGACGATGATGATGAGGATGCTGACTATGCTGATGTTGCTGGCAATGATTTTAATGACGCTGATGCTGATGCTGATTCTGATGCCGATGCTGATGCTGATGATGCTGATGCTGATGCTGATGCTGATGCTGCTGATCATGGTGTTGATGATGATGGTGACAATGATGATGCTGATGATGATGCTGATGCTGCTGGTGATGGTGCTGATGATGGTGATGAGGCTGATGATGATGCTGATACTGATGATTACTTATATATATACACGAGTATGATGGTGACGATGATAACGATGATGATGATGATGATGATGATGATGATGATGATGATGATGATGATGATGATGATGATGATGATGGTGATGATGATGATGATGATGATGATGATGATGATGGCGATGCTGCCGCTGATGATGATGATGTTGATGATGATGATGATGATGATGATGATGATGATGATGATGCGGATGGTGATGCTGATGATGCTGATGACGTTGATGCCGATGCTGATGCTGATTCTGATGCTGCTGCTGACGATGATGCTGCTGATGATGATGCTGATGTTGATGAGGCTGACGCTCATGTTGATGCTGATGTTTATGCTCATGCGGGTGATGCTGGTGATGATGATGCTGATGAGCATGATGATGATGCTGCTGCTGATGGTGATGCTGATGATGCAGATTCTGCGGAAAGTGATGACGTTGATGATGACGATGATGATTTTATTAGGATGATGAAGCTGATGATGGTGATGGTGACGGTGATGGTCATGAGGATGATGCTGCTGATGATGATGGTGATGATGCTGATGATTATGATTGTGATGATGAAACTGATGATGGTGATGGTGACGATGATGGTCATGCGGATGATGATGCTGCTGATGATGGTGATGAGGCTGATGATGATGATTATGATGATGATGATGATGCTGATGATGATCATGATGATGCTGATGATACGGATGAAGCTGCCGCTGATGATGATGATGATGTTGATGATGATGATGATGCTGATGCTGCTGATGAT